CACACAGACAGCCTCTCGACAATATGCGTTTTTGCTGGCTGTAACAGCGCTATAGCGCTGCACAGCGAAAACGCATAAAAATTAGAACAAATTCTGTCAGTTCCATTCTCCAAGAGAAGCTCAAACATTTGAAGGGTAGTTAAAATGGTAGCAAGTGTCAATAGCAACCAAGGCTGTTCATGGTTCCTCTGCTTACAAGCAAGCTGACGGTGGGCTTTACTTTCAGGGATGTACCAGTACCGTTTTACCATCGAAATGAATGAAACCCTCGACCTACCGCATGACAACAGTGCAAATAAGAAACGAAATGTTCGAGTGCATGGCAGTTGCTCCTTATCACTTTTATCCCCTAAGGTCAGAAGATTCCTACCACACTTCGCAAACATATTTAGAAAGCTCTTACTTTTTTCAGTCACGATTTAAAAACAAAAAAGCTAAGCCAAACAGTTTCGTATATTCCAAGTAATCCCAAATGCACATTGCATAGCAATTTCACTTGTTTACTTTTTAAAATCAGTTTTCAAGAAAATTTTTTGTACCAAAAAATTTTGGCTGATGGAAAACTGGTCGGGTCTACAACCCAGGAGCGGATAACGTTGATCTCGTGTTGAAAATCGAAAGTTTCACGTCAACAACAAAGCATCCAGTTTCGTAACGATTTCTTCATTCGCATTGTGACAGGTGTTATAGGTGCATGTTGGGAAGTTAACCACCCTCAGCTTCCTTCTTTGCAACCCTCAAAAAGGCGAAAGCGAACGGCAGTTCTATTCGAAGGTTATTACCAGCGTATGCCACTCCACGCAGCTCACTGTCTTTGTTTCTCGTAAATAGGGGAAGGATTAATGTCCGACTTTAAATCATAAATTAATGTCAGTCGTTTGACTGATAACAACCAGTCAGCTTTTAATTGATTGAATTTTTATGGAAATCTTTGTCTGCTAGAAGATTCACTACCCATGAACTCAAAATGCTTGTAAAAATCAAGCAGTTTTGCTCAAAAAAGCTCCAGAAAAAATTTATTTGTGTGCCTCGAATCTGCCTTTAACAGCAATTGCAAATGATATTTAAATTGTAAGCTGTAAGAGTATTTTGAAAAGGAACTGAATAATAAATGCAAGTCTGCAGCCCAGGATCGAAGGACTCGGCATAGCCTTTCTGCCTTTACGTGATACCCGTATCTGAACAATTAAACCAGAAGAGGGCTTTTTTGCACCGGTATCATTTTTTGCACTTTGTAAATTTACAAAATTTATAGTAAAATTTACAGAAATTTGTAAACTCGGCTTCTTAAAATGCTAGATTTTGAAAGCGAAATGTGGGAATAAAAGTCAGTATAACTACTTCAAGCATCAAGTGCATCTTAAACTACTGGGCTTGCGTGATTTTTTGCAATAATAAAATTAAAATAAAAATCCGAGTTAGAAAAAGCTCTAGTTATGCATAGAGGCAGTGGATATAGTAAAAGGATTCGGTAAGAGCAAGAGTGATCAACATAAGACTCTACTGGCCACTGAAGCTAGAAACAGTAAGAACCGAATCTGTCATTTCATTTTATTTGGAAAGAGTAAAAATTTCTGTTTTACTGGAGCTTATCATTTATTTTTTTTTCGTTAATGTGTAGATTTCCGGATATCATCAGATCCTACTGCTAAATTAGTATTGAGTTTTGAAATTTGTAAGCTTACAAACACAATTTCATTGGAATAATTTGCCACTGTACAGGAATTAAGTTTATCTTTTTGTGCAAATTAATCTTAAAAAATTGCTCCCAATTGGGCAGAAATCACTGTTACTGTACCAGAACATAATACTACAACATAAGCAAATGATCTAAGCTAAAACTGATGCTCTTTTGAAAATAAATCTTTTAGGAATATATATGAAATTCTATGACGGAAAGAGAAACGGAGCGAGAGATGTTTGGAATCATCCTGACTACAATCAGGTTCTCTATCGTATAAGCGATGTGCTGGATATCTTTGCAACAACGCGAGAAAGTAAAATCTAAACGGCAGGTCATGCTGTTCGCCCAGGTGGGCGAAACAGATTAGTGAGTGGTTTCAAACTTGCGACAAAGTAGACACTCAAACTTGCCTTAAAGCAGCTTAGAACTGAAGGGTCATCAAACTTGCGATAACCCAGTATCATCACTGACATCCACTAATGCCTGGCCAGTCTTGTTATTCTTGGTATGTGAAATTGTGTTTTCAAAAAAATTATTGGAATTTTGGCAGTTTCAATCACTAATAACCAAAAATGTTTGCCAAAAAGCTCAGCTGAAGATTTACTGAAAATGTATCACCAGTACTTAATTTTTCTAAACGAAATTATCCTTGAGAAAAATATGGTTACGCCACTGTTTCGCGCATAAAATTATAGCGAATAAATAACCTTCGAATGGATTCCTTGTATTAAAATTAACAGTTACAGATGTAGGGCCGCATTCGATTTCCGGTTCGCCCTCGACACCGTTATCGATAGGGATTGCATCGCTACGTGTAACTAGAAGGAGCAGCAGCGGTAATAGTTGCATTAAGTATGAAGGAAGGAAGATCGTCGTTACTTCCGCCATCTCCACCATCCAAGGATTCTGCGCCTGTATAAGATGCTGCTGCTTCCTGGTATCTTCTACGGATAGTCCTTTTATATGCGAGCTTTGACACCATCCACTGACCACGGAGCTGTTTCGGGGCATTCGGGTCGCCGTAGGGTAGTTGACCCGCCCCCTCATCCCTTATCCGTACGGAGAATGATGATCCCATCTACAAGCAATGTCAATTTTCACTTCTTGATTCCTTGTCTCTATCTCAGTGACACCCTCTTACCCACGTAAAGTTTCTTCAGTGGCCCCCATCCCTCCCACTGCCCCCTCCGAGCTGCAAAATATTCAGCGATGATCATCCCTCATCGCTGTTTTTGTTTGCCGGCTCCAGACAAAACTGAAAAAGATCCCTTGCAGGATTTCTCGAGGAGTTCACACTGTTAATTTCTGCTGTTTCTGATAACGGTGATGATGAGAATGATAATACTTGCTACTGACACAAATAGTAATTTGACAAGCAGCTGCAAAAGACTTCCTAAAATCTTCAACGTATCCACACAAATAAACAGTTATGCTCTTCATCGAAAGTTGTGGTTTTCGAGATCCTCCTTTAAACACAAACGAACTATGAGATTGCAGTTCTCAACCGCTGCTATTTCTTCTTAGTGAATCTAGAGCAGAAAATAAACTGGTATTAGAAATTTCGGATGAGCAGTGCTTTCGTCATCGAAAACGTGATTACAGTTCATGGTGAACTAAAACCACTGCCTGAGTTTGTTTGAAGAAAACGATTGCATTTTATGGCTCTGTGTTTACAGTTAAGGGCTAAAACACAGACTGCGCGGTAATTATGTCCGCGAGTACAAGCATCACCTTATCTCGGTCTTTTCATTAACATAAGTTTCGCTTCGTCCGTGCTACTCTTTAGTTGGCATAGCAGGCAGTGTTTCCTGCTCCAAGAAAGCCACAATAAAAAACTACGTTTAAGTTATCCAAAATTAATTATTGTTCTTGGATTTCAAGTTTTCCTTCGCCATCCAGTACAATGATAATGATTTTTAAGCTGTATATGCGATTGTCCATCATTTTAGTGGCTGTTGTGCTGCAACTCTGGATTTCATGCAATCGAGAAAACGTTCAGTACAGGTTAACCAGCTCACTTGTTTTTCAGAGTCATACCGCTGCAATTGAAGCTAACCGTAATTGATGTGAAACTCGAAATGATGCGAATCAAAGGCTAAAACTCTGAGATTTTAGATGCCTCATCGTGATGACTCTTTGATCTTTTGAACCGCCTCTACTTTCTGCCGACAATTCTAACATAGCTTAGCTTCCGTTAATATTTTTGCAAAGATAGTACTGCTTTGTGGATGAACTAGTGGTATTACCATGATATGCAAAATAATTGCTGATTGGTGCTTTGTATTTACTATTTTTTTGCTTATTTTTCAATATTTTTTGTTTTTACGTTGATTGCTTTGTTTTTTACTTTCTTTGCCTTTTATTATTTTATTTTTTTTTATTTATGTAAGTTTTAACAAAGGATTTTTCAGGCGCTGTTCAAAAATTTCTGAAAAGTACATTCTCACATTCATAATATTTTAAAAGCAGCCGTCATCCAGAAATATGTTAGAAAAATCCTGGCTGCATTTCTGGGCGCTGATAATGTGTTCAAACTGATTGATGGATAAGTTCCCAATTCAACTCACTTTTAAAAAGAATGTTTCACTGTAAAAGCAAAAAAAAATTCCTCTTATTCGGTCAAAAATGTAATTACAATGCATTCACTTGGACAATAAAATTTTATGATTTTTCACTAGAGAAATTTCTTAGTAAATGCCATTAAAAACCATAATTTATGTTATCTTTTTTCAAAAATCTGTTTACGACTGAACGGTAAAATTTATACTCAGATGTATGTGTAAGGATCTGCGGCAGCACGCAGTCGGCCAAATTGAGCATATTTTGGAAAAATCTGGCCGCTGCTCTTCAGCAGTGAGCTCGGAACTGTTCCTCTCTTGTATCCATTTGTGCTGTTCAAAAAGGCTGCTCTGTGTACGTTTCAATATTAAAATCAAAAGCCAAAACTCCTTTGTGTGTGCTCTCTATGAGAAGCTTATGCTGTCGAAGTGCCAATAACAACAGCCATTCGCTGGCAAGACTGTCGGTTGCTTTCGAGGTTGACTGCAACTAAATTGATGGGGTGGGAAGTGATAAACTGGTATTTACCCCTATTACAGATTTTATCGATGATAAGTTGGTTAAGTATGCCAAAACCAATTTACCATCGAAACGAATCAGCGAATCGTAGAGGAACTAATTGTCTCGCTGGCGTAATTTAATGAATTTTCGAAAAAAATAACCAAAAACCTGCTACCACAACACTTATTAACAGTTACAGTGCAAAAAGGCATGACACAGCTTTGATTGCGTTGGATGTGTTCTTGGAATAACGTTTGCAGCAACACACATGCAGCAAGTTTTTTATCAGAACAGTTCAGTTTTACAAATCAAAATGATTCGAAACAAAACCACTAACATAGTCAGCATCTAAAACAGCATTGCCATCAAATGGTGACAGCTACGTGTTCTTACGATAGTCTGTTGCAAGCACATAGCTACTGGATACAACAAAATATGCAAGAGTAATAAGTAGGCGAATTCTAGACAAAAGGGAGTGGTCAGTGCTTTACAAATTTAATATGTGCCCTTAACGCTGAAAACTATTTTGTCGATTTTTATGCGTTTTTTTCAGCTGTGCAATGCGAAAAGCGTATATTGACGAGAGATTGTCTGTGTGTGTGTGTGTGTGTCTTTGGTGTGCGCTGCGCGTCTGTACCGATTTTTCATCTCGAGACCCACAAAAGCTACTGGGCTGAAACTTGGTGAACTTAATCTACGTGCGTGTACGGGCCCCAATCTCCGGAATGGGCGCTCTTACCCGCGTGGTACCCACGTACGGATCCGTGAAAAATTTTCGCGGGCAAGTCGCTAACTCGGGAATCAGAAAGCCAGAAAGCTGAAATTTTACGGGAACGTTCCCTGCCTACGCAGGCCTCAACGAGCTCAAACCTAGACGTCGGGTACGCGTGGTACCCACGTACAGGCCCATGAAAGTTTTTTTTCGAGTAAGTTGCTAACTTAGAAGCCAGAAAAGCTAGAAAGCTGAAATTTTAAAAGGGTATTTCCTGACAGTTCAGGCGGCCAGTCTTAATTTGTTCAGCTAGAAACATTTGCCGGAAGAACCGGTGCCGGTAGCGAAAAAAACTGTGGGGAACTATGTAAAAAACGCATCTTCGCACGGGCAGCCTGTGCGTTGGCCAGTTATTTTACTTTCTCTTTCACGCTGGGAAATTAGGCACCGGCTGAGTCGATTCTATTGCGCTGAGGTGGCTCTCGAAATTCCAGCCTCCTAGCAAGTCTGATTAGAGCTGGAGAAGGACGCCGGTGGAAATTCTGCAAGTGGAAATTTGAGGTGTTTGTTCACTTATCATGGGTATTTATGAAAGCTCATTTTTTACTTAACGGCAAGGCATTCTTTAGAGGATAAAGCTTCTTATTCGGACTGGATCTTGAGTTATAAAGACACTAATAATTTTATATTCAAATCGTCATGACCAAACTCGAGAAGCAAGCCCACACGGATGCCGATCCTACGCTTTCGCGCCGCACAGGTTCAGGTAGCATTCTTACAAAATTTTAGCTTTCTAGTCTAACTGATTTCGAGCAACAAAAAATGCAAGCTGTTTTAAATTGAAATTTGACTTGTGGGAATGCACATCACTGGCATATAAAAATTTATTTCACGTTTACAAGTCTGCACTAAGGCAGGAAATACTTTTGTACAGTTACAGCTTTCTGGCTCCAAAGTTGGAACGGTATTTCCACCTAAACTTTGATGTCGCTCATAAGCGCAAACTAGGTATACGTGACAGCTGAATTTGAAATCTCGAGGCTACAGAAAGGAAATTAACACCTTTGCGAAGGTCTAACTTCTGACTCTGTCCGATTTCCGAAATGGTTTGCCGAAACTTGTTCAGTTTTTATGCGTTTTTACTTTGCAGTGCTATAGCACTACTACAGTAAGCAAAAACGCATATTCGTGCGGGTGTGTGTGTTCGGAAACAAGTGAACTTTGTCATCTACTTTCAAATCAGCAACCAGGGAAGTTAGGAGGCTGAAATTTTAGGGCCACATTCCCATCTCGTGTGTCACCCTCTCGTTTTAAAATCTTCTCTCATATGCGTCTAGATTTCGTGTACGGGCCTCCAAAATAAAATAAACAAATTTGTTTGGAAGGAAACGATTTCGTGAACCTGGTAAGATAGAAAGCTAGAACTTTGTGGGAATATTCTCCATGCATGTATGAGCTAAAGATTTCAAAATTAGCTGCCAAATACGCTTACGGTCGCGTCAAGGTTTGCAGTTGACAGTGTGCTAACTCGAAAACTAGCCGGAAAAAATTGTTGAAATTTCGTCAGAACATGGAAAATTTTACATTATATTGAGTTTCGATTTGCTCTTGCGCCACGACTTAGGGGACTTCAAAGATATGTAGCGAAGTGACTATTTCGCTTACCAAACAAGGTGCGAAGCTGAAACTTTGCAATGATATTCTACTTTCACGTGTGATCGTGACTCAGTTTGAAGGTGAAATTTCATGCACACGCGCAGCATTGCAAATACTCAGTTTTATAGCAAACTCAAAAGCGAGTACATTTTGCAGATTTCACAGTCCTCTTCCTACCTCCTTCAAATTTTCATTTTTCCGGTGAACGAGCATTCACCTCAAAAACGATCGGACTTCATGCAAAAAAATGACGATCATGCATGCTGGAGGTTCATGTAGCCCTATAATGGAACGCCTTCATCCCAGCCCGCGCCCTTTCCCCTGCATGCAAGAGGAAGCTAAAACATAGCCAGTATGAAACGAAGTTTTAAACTATAGAGCAGGAACCATCCCTGCTGTTAGCGGTCTGCAAGTTTAGTACAAAAAAACATGGTCGCACCGGCACGCTTTATGCATTGCA